AGTGTTGCCAAATCTAGAGAAAAAAATTTCAAAGATTGGATATATTTTGACATGATTTGGAAATGATTGTGGGAATTTCCTTTGGAATATCAGTTGGTTTATTATGCTTTGCCACAATTACTTGAAAAATAATGGTAGAAACACCATATAAAAACACTACTTGAACTCTGGTGAACCAATACATGTACATGTGTTATGTTGATTTGTATGGATCATCACGTGTTTATAAACATTACATTTCTAGATGCAATGATGGATGGGTTAGTAAAAATTACATGAATTATCAGAAAAATTACATGCAATTTGGTTATAAAAGATCTTCTTATCCCCCTTCTCCCCATCCCACCAAAAAAGAAAAGAAAAAAGAGCAGCGTATAAGCAACCAAAAGGTATTACATGTGTGCTATGTATTATAAGATCCTAATAAAAATTCAAACTTAAAGATTTTAAATTAAATCAATAGAAAAAATAATAATACTCGCGTATCTTAATTCATTAATGGAGATAATTCACGTTGTTGATTTTTTGGTAATTGTCATATTCTACTTCAAAACCTTACTCTTATTTATCTTTCACATAATAATGTAAAAAATATAACCACATATTTATGAAGTTTTAATTTTATATTTACTCATTATAAATAAATAAAATTATAAAATATGATATATTAGAAACATGTCAATAACTCCTTCACATTTGTGTGTGAATCATAATTTATTACATATATGTGGTGCCACCGTTTGCCTTTATATATATATATATATATAAAATCCCATTTGGCTTTACGGAATTTGATCTCAGTTGAGAAAGTGAATGAAGGTTGGATAAGAGCATCTCCAACCGCATCCTCTTTTTAAGAGGATGAATATAATATTTTTTATTCAAAAAGTAGATATAAAAGAGGTTACTATTTATTTAAACTCCAATCACAAATTTTCATTTCCTTCATTTAAACTCCAATCAAAAAATAATTTTGTTCATTAATAAATATTTAATTTTAAAATTTTTATAAAACATATTTAATATTATACTTATTTTAAAGGTATGATTTTATACTTTTTATTGATGTCATTTTTATAAAAATTAAATTTACACATTAAAAGTTATTTCGAATATAATTAAGAAATACAGAGTGACACTTTGCTTGGTTCCTATTTTTTAAAAACAGTTTTCAGAAAGTTCTACACTCTTATTTTTTGTATTTTTTTGTTTTTACTGAATTTTTTTAATATTTTATGCAAATTTTTTACTTTTTAGACATACCTAACATAAATACACCTAAAAAGTAAAAAAATTGTAAAAAAAATCTTTTAAAAATTCACTAAATATCAAAAATACAAAAAAATACAAGAATTTAGTACATTTTTTGTATTTTTATGTATTTCTTAATTTTTTAAAATATTTTTTCACAATTTTTTTACTTTTTAGACACATCTAAGTAAGATGCATCTAAAAAAGTAAAAAAAATGTTTAAAATTTTAAAAATATTCACTAAAAATAAAAAAACACAAAAATCAAAAAACTCATGTGAGAACCCGAATATAAAAATTAAGTAAATAATTACATAATAATTTTACAAATCTCAAATATTTTATTATGAATCTTTAAGTGCAAATTAAATATTATTGGAGGATCTCTTAATTAATTTTAAACCTAAAATAAATTTATGGTGAAAGTCATTGATTGAGAAGCAAGATTTATTATTAAAAAAAAAAATAGAGAAGAGGGTGTGACTTGAACTCTAGAGTACAAAATTAATAAGTTAGACTCTTACCATTTGAATTGCATGTAACTTATATATGTATTTTGTATATTTATCTATCTATTTGACCTAAGTGTGCCCACCACTAGTATAAAATAAAATAAACACACACTAGTATAAAATAAAATAAACACAAACCCTAACTCTTGTTATAATTGTTTTCCACAACACTAGCAGCCCTAGCAGCCGTGGGTTTATGAAGGAAAGAGAGGGGTTTTTCAATCATCAAGATTATTGTTGTAGCCAAGAAGGAGAGCTTTGGGTGTGTTGTGCTGTGTGGCCTCCTAGGTTTTCTTCTCTTCTTTCTTTGTTCTTTATCCTAATAATGTTGTTATTTAATTCATTGATGGAGAGATTGTAGGTGTATTAGCAAGTAAAGAGAACAAAAACACCCCTATGTTGGGGTAGGGTTTCCCTGTCCTATTTTGTCAGGAGCTAGGGTTTCACTACGCACACATCGGTTCTCAAACAACCTAACATCGGGTAAGCAACATGTCCTAACTTGGAATGGTCACTATGGATCCGAATATGCACTAGGTCGAATGGTCGAAAAGGGTGCCTCGGTGAAAATCGGGGTTTGTATTCCCATATTGTCAGAGCCCATAGCCGGTCAGCCTTATGGTCATGCCTTGACAAGACAAGCCTCCGGCAAACCGTTCAGGAATGGCAGATGGCAAACACTGTGTTCCTAGGCGCACCAATGCACATGCAATGCAAAGAAACACATAAATGAGATCAAAACAGGATATCACGAGTTCGAGTCAAGCTCTCTAAAGTCCCCAGCAGAGTCACCAGAAACTGTAGACGCGCCCGTGGAGGGGGGGCTCATGCTACTACAGTTCGGACTCGATTTTGTTGTCGCGGTTCTTAATCTGAACCAAAGAGTCCAAATCTGGCAAATCGTTTTGAGAAACAGATTTTTGAAAAAGTAGTGCCAAACATGGACTGCTTTGCCAGATACAGAGTCGCCACCTAAATATTTTAAAATGGGGGAATTTAGGAAACCCTGACTCGGTGCCGAAGGCCACATGTCCGTCATCACCGGAGTTGTCTCGGCTCGGGAGCTTGGGTACGATCGGGGAAGGTCAGCTATGAGCACCCCCTT